ACTTCGGATCGCGAAGTCCTGCGCCACGGCAAACTCCAGAAAACTGAGGCAGAACCATGCCAGCAGCTTCATGGGACTTCATGGGTGACGATGTGCTGCAGACGGCTGAAGAGAAACATCTTTCTTTAATCCGGGCCACCCGGGGGAGGGTCCCGGGTCGGATTAGGGATCCAAATCCAAGCCAAGCAACTCAAAAGATCACCCGAATCAGCCAGGAGGATGGTTGTGAGTTACTCAAGATCGATCCGTCCCATTCGTGAAAACATGCAGGAGGATCCAAAAACATCTCAAAAGTCATGCGTTTCTGTATGCCACTCCACCACTCCACCTGAAAATGGCCACCAAAACATGCCCCCTTCTTATTCGAAGCACCCGGCATGCCAACGCCGAGAATCCAGAGTCGAAGCACCAAAAAGCACCACAGGTGTCTATAATTATAGTGCTAGTGCTACAAGCAACGCCCTCCGGCCAGGCTGTGCTAGGATTTCAGTCCGAAATGTTGGATCCCATGGGACCTATGGCCGATCAGTTGCGGTTTGAAGAACCCTGGAAGGTCCGTTTTTTTCCACAAGTTTGGATCACCGGTGATCTGAAAAAGGGAGGTTCCTTTACTTCAGCGGTGCCCAATAGACTCGTTCTTGGGACTTCTATAGACTCTAGACCTACGAGAAGATCCTACGAGAAGATGTTTGAAAAGGGCTCAATGTAGACCTACATTGAGCTCAGTGCGATGGATGGCCTGGGCCGCTCTTCCCCCAAATGCTTCGTCTTTCTGGGGCCTTTCGGCCATACTTCATGGCCGGTCTGGGCCGCAGGTGGCGAAGGACGTGGCGCGGCTGCCGATCGCCACGGAGGCGTGGCTGCGGCGGCGATGGACGTGGCTGCGGCTGCGCGTGAATGGATGAATCATGAGCGTGTTACGTGTTGTCTAATATATCTATGATATGATGATATGATATTATGTCTCAAAAGTATTCACAGGTATCATGGTGCATTTGGCATGAGTACGATATTTGCTTGGCAGCTTAGCTTCATTGGAATGTCTGTACCGGGTGCTGACGGTCTGTCTCACCTCTCCGCGTCGTCGGTGTAGGAGCCACATGCAACCAGTTGAATTGGTTGAATTACCTCTTCTCGCGGAAGCAACCCACCTAATCCACCTCCAATGGCCTCGAAGCGTATGTTGTTGGTCTTGTAACTTGTATCCGAACTACACGCGGATGATCCAGGCGGATAATCATAGGTCAGTGGAACGGGTCCCAAACCTGCCAGAGCATACATGGACCCAACCGGCCCAGCCACCTCCATCGTTCTGGAATGGAATCACAGAACGCTCGGAGCAGAAAACCCAGTGACACGGATGAAGTTGGATGTTGGACGGAGTTGGAGCTTCTATGTTGCTCCCAAAGCCCTACCCCCAAATGGGAAAGAACAGCTCTATAGTTTTGTTGGATCGGGCAACTCCGAGATCGGGTGCAAGCTCCCCAAAGTGCTTCACTTTGGGTTTCCCTGGTTTCCCCAGAATTCCACAAGGCCAACCAGGAGAGCATCATAGAGCATCCACACAGCTGGATCACCAGAATCAGCTCGGAATCCCCCCCCCAAATATATACCAGCAAGAGACCTCAAGAAGTATTCAAAAGATTACCATAAGTGAGTGAGAAGACGATGTTCTTTGGGAAACCAGACGCACACCGACAACCGGACCGCCCCCCCGGTGACCGGGCCCCGGTGCAGCACACACGACCCGCTGCTTTTCGGGCGCCGTTGGGCCGAAGCAAGATCCATCCGCTGCTCAAGGTTGGTTTGGCTGCCACAGAGGGAAAAACACTGGAGATGTTGCAAATGAATTGTAGGAACTCAATTTTTGTTAAACATGCAAGGCAAATTTGCGTATGCAAAAAAGGTAGGCCCCACATGTTCATACATTGCATTTGGGCTGACTGGTGGCAAAGAACGTCAGTTTTTGAACTTGTTGACAAACAATGACAGAATCATCGCAGAATCAGAACTACTATGTTTCCTGTGTGCTTGCTACAGTAGCACCAAACCCTCACATGTGCGAGGGGAATCAAATCAGTACAAACATTCTGGCTCTCCCCAACAGCCAGCTGGTTAAGCTAAGGTTGGGTACCTCCAACTACGTTCTGACTGAATAACGGTTTGTATATATATACAGTAATGGTTTGTAGAGGTTTGTAGGGCCTCTAATTGTTGTTTTAAAGCAGTGACAAATCAGGAAGGGATATGAAAGGACGGTACTGGGACGAAACCTGCACAAGGGGAAGAGTTGCAAACATCAGGGCTGTAAAGAATCCCCCCAGGGGCAAACACCATCCAAGGATGGTGGATGATATGACTTGCGATCCAGTCCGCCACTTACCTGTCCCTTGCCTATCGCAGTCAGCAAGCGGGCAATGGGTGTAGGAAGTGTTGCAAATAGCCAATGAAAAGGAAAAGGTGAGCCCCTTACAGTAATACATCCAATTAGGAGAATTGTCAATAAAAACACAAATTAAAGTAAAATCTCATGCCGGCCTGCAAAAACCTCAGCCCGCAGTCTATCATGTATTTCACCCAATATATCCAAATATGGTATTTCTCAGTTTTGGTCCCAAACCACGATGAGCAACTCCAACCACGGTGGCCATCCGATCGAAAGCACCGTTTTGCCACCGCAAACCCAACGTCCAATCAAGCTGGACCCGACCCGAGCGGTGACGCTGGACTCGACCCGAGCGGTGTAGACCGCGCGCTACACGGGAGGTCCGAGAGATTGGTGCTGTGCATCGTCAAAAAGGGGGACACCGAGAGAGGCAAAGAGCCACGAAGATGTGAAGCAAATGATCCAAATGAGTTTGACCAAATGTTCCAGGCTGTCCCAATGTTTCAGGTGACTCTATGTGAATTTCATGAAACTTATCCAGTCTTCCGGCTAATTCTTGTAAAACTGATGTGCTTTGCTTGGGAAATCTCGAATCGGAATCGAACATAGGGGCCTGATTGAATCACCGATCGATCTCATCCTGGGCTTGGAAATCTGTTCCTTGGGCCTCCCAGCATTCTGCTGCTGACTGGTCCTCTCAAGTCTTCAAACGCTCGATACACTCCATGCCAGTCCCATACGTCGTCGTGTCTGGGAACAAATATAACGTCGTACCGAGGATCGGTGATGAAGACACCCAAGCAAACTAGCCTATGAGTTGGGTATATCGGTGTATCGCATTACCAGTAATTAATGGATGATGATGGTTAGCAAAGGGCTTTCTCAAAAATCGTGATAATCCTTTACCGACTGTTATTGGTCATGGGCTACACCCAACCGATGAGTGAGAATGGGGTGCTCTCCAAGGGTCCAGGAGATTCGTGCTCTGAGTTGTGAGATCAAGTCACTGGTGTCACCCATAAGGATTGAGGGTGGCTGGATCCGAAATCCCAAGGGAATCTCTTTTGGGGGGGCGAAACATCCAACGCATTCGTGTTCTCTCATCCCGCCCGTCCAGTGGCGCTGCTCTGGCGCTGCTATAACCGCTGCTGTGGCCTCTTTCCCCATGTCTCATGCTCCCTCTCGATGTCGGGTCAAAGACTTCGGAATGTTGATCAAAGACTTCGTCGAGCTCCGACCGCTGCGCGGGAAGTGAGGTCAGTTGAAGTAGGTGATAAACTGAAGCTCGGACTCGGGCCAACCTCCCAATTTTCAAAGTCCCCCTGGCCACACAGGTTCATAGATGTAGTTAGATGTAAGAACAACATTATACTGTTACTTGGTTAAACAACATGTACATTAACTGCAAAAAAACTCATTACTGCATATGATCGGAACAATCGAGGGTGATCCAGCGTTTCACTACGGACTACGTATGACTCTTAAAGCAACAGTTGAAGTTGAAGCATCTTCAAGTACATATGTAATGAGCAGCTTTACATACAGGTACAAATCCATAATATATATATCCGCCGACCCCGTGGTGCAGCAAGGGGGGAGCGCGCACCGAAATGGTATGTTCTGTTGTTTGTGGCCATAAGGTGGGCTACTGCTTCTTCATCTAGAGATCCCACCCCGAAGTGTTTTTGGTGCTCGGTGCGCAGGTTTCTGTGCCTGGAACAGTGGAGCTCTGTGCCTGCAACAGTGGAATTGCCTGCCGAGATCCCAGCCCGAAGTGTCTTTGGTGCTCGGTGCCTGGAACAATGGAGCTCTGTGCCTGCAACAGTGCAATTCCTGCCAGAACCTTGATTTTTTCATTCGGTTCAGGAGTGACGTTTGGCCCGGGCAGAGGGACGGCAGGAGGCTGTTCCGTCACGCCGTGCCAGGGTGTTTTCCTGATTCGAAGGGTGTCTTGTGGCTTGGTTTGTGTGCCTGGAACAATTGCCTGCCGGACCCTTGATTTTTCATTCGGTTCAGGAGTGACGTTTGGCCCGGGCAGAGGGACAGCAGGAGGCTGTTCCGTCACGCCGTGCCAGGGTGCTTTCCTGATTCGAAGGGTGTCTTGTGGCTTGGTTTGTGTGCCTGGAACAATTGCCTGCCAGACCCTTGATTTTTTCATTCGGTTCAGGAGTGACGTTTTGCCCGGGCAGAGGGACGGCGGAGACTGTTTCGTCACGCCCTGCCAAGGTGTTTTCCTGATTTGAAGGGTGTCTTGTGGCTTGGTTTGTGTGGCTGGAAGACCCTTTTTTTTTCATTCCGTTCAGGAGTGACGTTTGGCCCGGGCAGAGGGAAGCACCAGGCCGTTCCGTCACGCCGTGCCAGGGTGTTTTCCTGATTCGAAGGGTGTCTTGTGGCTTGGTTGCTGTGCTTGGAACAGTGGAATCGCCTGCCAGAACCTTGATGTTTTTCAGTCGGTTCAGGAGTGATGTTTGGCCCGGGCAGAGGGACGGCAGGAGGCTGTTCCGTTCTGATTTTTGGTGGCTTGGTTTTGGACTATTTGGAGCGCCACTCTGAGCGCGGACACGCGCGGCCGTCTGGACGTTTGTGTCGGCACTGAATGCGGCCAGTTTGCTTTTTACTGGTAACGACTGTCCCACACGTAGGACAGGTATGCGGAAATGATTTGGATCGGACTTCGCCACACGCGACGCGAAATTGCTGTCCGCAAACGTGCCGGTGGTCCACCAGTCCATCGCGAATGCGACTGGCAACGAGGCCGGAACAGTGCGGGCAAATGTATTCCACTGTGCGAGCGCTGGGGGAGGGCTGGAGATGGCTGGAGCCAGACGGTTGAGGCCACGAGGCTGCAGGTGACTCGAGAGGCATGGCGGGCGACGCAAGCTCAGGAGACTGCTTTTGAGCCGCCTGCCTTGCACCCACAATAGTATTAATTTCTTCTCGGATGGCCGCCATCAATCTTGCGCGGTCAGCGCACGCAACGTTCTGTCGGAGACGGGCGAGGCGGACATTGGCCGCCACAGCGACGCGCTTAAGGGCCAGCCGTTGCACGCACGCGTTGCACACTTGATGACCGTGGGAGCGACTGGGGTGCCGGCGGTTGTGCACGCTGTACGCGTCAAGGGGCTTTCGCTCGCAGCAGGCAGAACATGTCCAAGCGCTCCTCATCTTTCGCGCGCAATCTTGGCAGAGGCGCCTGTCGGCATGGCGAGCCTTCCAGGCCGCTTTCCCAAAAAAATCCTCCGTCAGCATTCGCTTGCAACGTGCGCACGGCTTGCGCCGTTCGCAGGTTGCGCATATGCGAGTGGAGGTTCGGGCTGGGTTGGATTGCGCTTGCCCTGCAAAAGCATCTTTCGGGCCCCAGTGACGGCAGACAGCGCACTGCCACGGGCAATTGTTTTGGACGTGTTGCCACACACATTCTTTGCACACCCGGGCGTCATCGGGGCGCTTCCATTGCCCTGCGCTGTAGGCTTTGTTGTTTTTCCGTTCGCGGCACTCCGCGCACGGTCGTTCTTCAAGGTATTTGGCCCGGATGCTTTCCCAATCTATATGCTCTTGTTGCCAGACGCGTAAGAGCATCTCACGCCCAAGAGGGACACCTTTCTGAAAAGGCCGCGGATCGAAGGGGCGGAAAATCAACAAACCCCATCGATCCAGAACGCGGGTCAGGGCCACGTACGCAGTGAAAGGGTTGCCGTTTGGTCCAATGAGCAAATCCGCAATCACACCTCGGCAGAGCGTCTGACCTTGCGCAGCGTGCGCAGTGGAGGCAAACGCAGGCGCCAGGGGAAATTGGCGACGCGAGATGCTGAGCTGTGGGTTTGGCCGGCCACCGTCCAAGTGCCAGGTAGAGCGTAGAGGCGCCACAGGGTACACATTCGGGAGTAAGTTGTCGTCCAATTGCCACGCCGATTCTGTTTCGAAACGCACGTATATGGCCGCAGGCAACTCAGGCCAGATCTGTGCGCCAGTGCCTGTGGCAATTGTTGCGCTTGGCACGGCTGCCCAGCCCACCACTGTGCCGCGGCAGCCACGCAGGATCTTTCGGCGTCGATCTATGTGCTCCGTTGCCACGACGGGTAACCCCACGCAAAGCGGCAAAATGCCATACAAATTTCCACACTCTTTGTCATGACGCTGGAGCCAGAAGAGTTTTTCTTTGGCCAAGTCAGGCTTCGCGCTCAGGGCTTTGGTGCTGATGCGATCGGTTGCGACTGCGTACAAGAGTGCTTGTCCGTGGGCTGCGGCGAATTGGTGCGCACGCAACTTGTTAACGTGGCATTTGAGTGCATTCGTGCTGAAAATGCACGTTGCCCCTGCGAACTCGGTGGAGAAGCGGGGATCGGCGGGGTCACCGGCGACCCGCGCGCGGGAAGCCCGGTCACGCCGACAGATAGCGCATTCGGTCTGTAAAATTAACCTTGGGGGCACGCCGTCGGCTGCGAGCTTGGCGCACGCAGCGTTGCCGCACTCAACAGCCCCTTGGGTCCAACTCCCTGGCACAGCGGTAGGCTTTCCGTGCAGAAATGCGTGCGTAGTTTCTGTAAGCTGGCACGCGCGAAATTCTTCTTGCACCGCCTGCAACCACCTGTCGTGCGTCCGTTCGCACTCAACAAGCTGCGTTACGCCTTGAATACTCTCGCCCGATTGACCCCACAGCAAGGCTTGCCCATGCGCAGCGTGAGGTCGCTTCTTGGAGACGCCGGCGCTGAGCCATTGCAACGGAAGATTAGCAAGGAACGTGCCTTTTGGAGGTTCCAGTTGCCACCAGTCACCAACCAACACGACGTTTAAGCCGCCGAAGGGGCGAGCGTCCGCGGAGTTTTGCGCATACTTGGACGGGCATGCGTCCCAAACTAACTCGCGACAGCGCAGCTCCAATCGCGCCAGCAGTTCTGCGCTCACCATGCTAATTTCATCTATTACCAACCAGCGCCAGCGCGTGGCGTCGGAGAGGAGATCTAACAAGCGGGACAGGCTGATGGCATTGTCATTGCGACTATTCAGCCCCACCCCGTGATGGATCGTGTCCCCTTGCACTTGATCGGCCATCACGGCTTGCAGGGTCAAAACTTTGAATTCAATCCCGTGCGTCCACCCTAGAATCTGTTCAAACAGTTCCGTCCGCAACAGACGCACAACGTAAGATTTCCCGGTGCCGGGGCCTCCATGCAAAGCCCATCGCATGGGTTGGCTACTCGCGATTGCAGCGCGCTCGCTGTGCTCTTCTGTGCGTAGTTCTTCTGTGACGCGAGCCGCTGCTCTCTGCAGAAAAAGAAACTGTTCAGAATTACACCGTCGCTTTGTTTGCGGTTTGGTCTCTGCGGCTAGGTCGGCTAACCATGCCTGTATGCGAGCTGGGATATTCTCTGCTGGCAAGGCGCGCAACGACGGGCCCATCTGCGCCGTGAACGGTCGCAGGGGAGGTCGGGCGGTGGAGCGCGTTGCGCGGAGCATGGCCTTGACCTCGCAAGCCGCGTAGTCGTTGCGCGCTGCTGTTGAATATGTGGCCGCAGACGACCATAAAGCGTCGGCCTGCGATAGCGCGCTATGTAAATGATTGTCAGGCGCTAGCAGTGTGGAGGTTCGCTCTGCCCTGTCGCGCGGAAGCTGTGTGGCGAGGGCTTTTTGTATGTTTGACGCATCGACTACCAGAGGCTCGTCAGCGCCCGAGTCATCGCTGTTGTCGAGCCCGTTCTCCGTTGAACGCACACGGTAGACAGAGAGGAAGTTGTTGATGTAGCGCTTCGTCTCTTCACATGGCAACTGGAGCAGCCACTGTCGGAAACTGTCGTCCCAACTGGCACTCGCACCCTTGAGGTGGGCCACGTGCGGCACAGTCGAATCGCACGCGTGCCGGTGTAAGGTCCATGCTCGGAAATAGGCAGTGGCAAGTAGCGCGCTGCGATCGAGATCCTCGGACAAATGCAGGGGGACAGGACTGTTTGCAAAGACGGGGCACACAGGCGTCGGGCGACGTTGGATGTACCAAGCGTGCCGCAAGAATCGCGTGGCTGCTGCGTCGTCAAAAAATATCACACCCGACTGGTCCCATGGTTTCAACATACAATCTTCCCAAGGCTTCAGATGCGCTGGAGTTCCAGTTTCTTGAGACGTTGCGAGCTTCTTTACGCCAGAATCTGTCAGCGTGACCTGCCAGGAACTCTGGGGCTCTTGCAGCCACTCTGCCCAAGTGTGTGGGGCTCGCAGTGGCTTCAATTCCCAATAAGTGACAAATTCGTACGGGGAGAGTGGCCACACGAGCGTCCCTTTTGGGCGCATGCCATACGCGCGACCAAGGTCGCATGCGCGTAGATGTCTTGCGCGCGGTCCTGCTTGGCGCTTCCAAAGTGTTGGGACGGCCGTGCGGTCTTCTTGCGGGCAAGCAGACGTGACCGCCTGCAGAAAGTTGCGGCCATGGAACTCTTGAAACCGCGTGGTGCTAAACCGCTCGCTGTGAACGATTTGGTGTTCTGAGTGATTGGCCCGCAGATTCACGGACTCCACCTGGCCACGAACGATGCCTTTGCAGTATGAATCGTTCAAAATACGGATCGCATGTCGGCGACCGATGGCCGCAATGTTTGCACTGGCAGGGCTCTGAGTCAATTGCATGTGCAAACGCGCGTGGCCCTTTTGAAACTCTTTGATTTCATGGAAGGCCATCGGCTGATTCTTAGAGCAATAATCAGCGCAATACCCTGTCTGGGCATCTTGCGCGCGCTGCGTGGCTAAGAGAATCTCACGTAGGGCCTGGGGCGTTGGCCCGTGGCAATCGCTGCAGCGAAAAGGTAGGCGATAAGGCACTTGGACATCAACATTGCAACCGCGCAAGGCCGCTAACATCGCTGGATGGCAAGGGTTCAGCCATTCATGCGTGTATGGACCATGCAAGCTCCCCAGCCTGTTTTTGCGACCAGTAGCTGGCATGTTATGACGTTTCAGCTGGCATGGACATAGAACTGTGGCATCAGATCGCAGCCACGCAGTGCGTGGAAATTCGCTTTTACACTCCCTCGGCTTGTCCGCTCGCTGGCATCCGCGAAGAGGGAGTTTCTCACCGGTGGTTTGATCGAGGACATGAACGTGATGTTGCTTGAGCATTTGCAAGTAGTGCACATCTTCGAACAAATACTGTTCCGTCCAGCGGCGTGCTTGTGTTGATGCATACATTGCACGAAACATTGGAGGTGGCCATGTAAGCTTCCTGTTGATTTTTGAGCTTCAAACGAAATGTAAGCGGCGTCCATGCGACCAAACACCCCCCCGACCACGGATGCGCTACTACCCGCTGCATCCTGACAACCGCGCCCATCGGTGTTGCAGTGTGGGCACATATCACACACACGCATTCCGAAGAGATGCCTTAAAACTAGCAAGCGCAGGACGCGAAATCCATCAACAGATGCGAGTGGGTCTCGCGCCAAGACTTGACGTCTCTGTTCCCAAGACGGTAAAGCTCGGCGAAACGTATCCACGTATATCGACAAGCGGCGGTCTTCGTCCAGCTGTGGCCATGTCCGAGCACCAGCATCCATATCCACGTGTAGATGCGACAGTCGCACTGGGTCGCTCACCCGTGTCCGGGACATGCGCACGAACAACAGCTGGTGGGCCTCGTCCGGAGAAAACGTAACGAAGAGGGGCACGCCATATCTCAGCCGCATAGCTTGGATTTCGAACCGCATCATTCGGCGAGCTTCTTGGGTCCCTGGCGCTCCGCGGGCTATGTGCCGAATGTTGTGCAAGAGTTTTCGCGCTGCCGGCTTGAGATGCTTGACGTAAGCTAATTTATTTAAATCACCTTTGACGGGCTTGATTTTGCCTTGCACATCTGTATATGAACCCTCCAATGAGCGGACCAATTGCATGGCCCCTTGCTCAATGTCTTGCGCAGAGAGCTTTCGGAAAGTGTTACGCTCTTCGTCGTACACGGGTGCTTCATAGCTGTCAATAGTTCGCGCCAGATTGACGGCGGAACGAAACAGCAAATTCCAACTCACAAAGCCAAAGGACCAATCTCTATTGATCTGAGATTCGATTCGCCGCGCCATTGCTCGCGTCCACGACGCTAGTTCCACGCGTGGCGCGTGCAACGGCCTCCGCCAGCGAGGTTTGTTGGACCAAGCCGGAGGGTCTGGCATGCCTATGCAATATTTGAAGACAAAAGAGAAAGCCACTCCGAAGTACCAAGGTTCAAACTGGTCCAGAACTTTTTGCCCCGTTGAAATTTGGAGGCGCTGCATCTTTGGCTCATCGTGCCCTGCCATAGAGGCAATGTGCTGCAAGGCAGCTTTGCTGAGAGCATCTTGCTCCTGAAAACCGCCCACAGTTTTTTCGTTCACTACTGCGTTGGGCTTGAAGAATTTTTGGAAGTCCAGCTGCACATCGTTCAATGTGTTTGACTCTGGTATCGGGACCGCAGCTTTTTGTATTTGGATGTTGCTTAGGTTGTTGTCGTGCGGTAAGAGCGCAACCAGTTCTGGAGGTACCCCGTCCATCGGCAATTGCTGAGCTCGCCTCCGAACAGCAGCCTCTTCTAAATGCACATAGCCTCTGTGACCTCGACCCATGGCGCCTAGGATAAGGTCCACGACAACATGCCGTCGAACCACTGCTTGGTGAATGAATTTGCTAAGCGCTTCTTTGTCTGGCTCTTCGTCTTGGGTTTTGAGTATGACGGAGACAAACTCTCGCAACTCGGCGCCGGTGTGTGGCAAAGGTTTTCCGGTTTCGGGGTTGCTTGTCGCGGCCTGTAGATGGTTCAACAGGCTCTCCCAAGGTAAGGGAAAGGTCGTCGCGTTGCCTCGCGCAGCAACACGAAAATCGTTCATGAACGTTTGTTGATCAAACATTCGATTTTGCCGGTATTTTTTTTCCAGGCTGAAGCAGATCATGGTGGTGATACATGGACTCGCACAGACCAGCTCCATGAAAGTAACTTCGTGTTGATATATTTCCTTTGGCGCGTAAAACACTAACAGATCATTGCTCAAGGCTTCGGGCGGGCACCGTGCTTCGTGGAGCGCTCCCAAGCAAGAGTGGCATATCGGCGCTTCGCATAGTGGGCATGTTTGTTGCGGGGGGGCATTTACGAATACATCGTTTATCTTCGGGGCAACAAACCACGCGCACAGTTTCTCCTTGACACTGGACAGAACAGGTCCAATCATCCAGTTCACGCAAGAGCTCCTCTCGCGCCAGCGTTGAGCTCTGATGGACATATGTGCGGCAATACGTCTCCAAGCCAAAGAGCGCCTCGACCTCTGCGGGACTGCAACCGAAGAATGTACTGGTTTCCATTGGCCCAGACAGCTTTTGCCAAGAAATATTTGCGCGCGGGCTGCGCGGCACGTGTGGATAGCGGCGCGCGCATATGAAACAAACCAGTTCGGCCAACTCCGCGTCTTCGATCGCTTCTCGGAACTGCCGCAAACATCGCCGGTCAATGGACGGGTTTGCTACCGGGGGCCTCTGTTGACAAATGCAAGTGACTACCAGGGAATAGGCAAGGCCCAAAGCTGCCTTCTGGGGGACAGCTTCTGCGCGCAGTAATTGGGTCAGAGGCATCAAGAGTGCGGAGTGAACAAGGAGATGATCTTCCAAGTCCTTTTCTGTGTGGCCCTCAAACTCGCAGCCCGCCACTGCACAGTGCGTTCTGGGTAAGCAATATCCGAGGGTATCTGACGCGCAAAATTCCCGTCGCAGTGGAACTGTTGGGTACTGGCGGAAGTGCTTGGCAAGGTTCTTTACTACTGCTTCCTTTGTCATTCGCCAATCAGCAGCCCCTGTGTTGACGGGCAGCCTCACACTCAGGTTGTAGTAGTCGTCGCTGTCAGTGTGTGGCTGCGCCTGGCACTGGTGGCAGACTGGGGTAGCCTTGCTGGGTTGTGGCGCGGCGTCAGCAGCTGCGGTCTTTTGACGCAAGCGACGCAACGGGGCCGAAGTAAGGGCCAGGCGTTTAACCCTAGAGGTTGGCATTGGCCTTGGCGTCTTCGGGGCATCTGGGTTGCGCTCATGCGCTTCACGTGTCTGTTGGGCTTTCGTTGCGCTTGGAAAATCGCAACACGTCCCTAATTTGTCGCCTGTCCCTTGGGTAGCTACAGCGTGAAAACTGCGCCACTGCTTGGCCAGCCTCCGCGCGGCGTGCATACCGCAGTCCGCAAAACAAAGCCCGGATTGAAGCAAAGTGCGCAGCTTGATCCCTAACGCATCGGTGTCATGCCACATCTGCGCTATCTCTGTGGCATCGCGTCCAGTGGCCGTAATGTCTCCAGCCCCGCGGCAGCTAAGGAAACGCTGAAGTATTGGCACAAGCTCGCCGGCGCCTTCGACTTGCGTGATATTGGTTGCGTTTACCTTGGACACGACAGTGGGGTTCGCAGGCGCTGCGCGTCGCCCTCCTTGCGCGCGCCTGGCTTCGCCGACGCGCTCTGGACGATGGTGGTGGACGTAGTACGCGATCCACTCTCGGGCATAATCTCTTTCACCGCGAGGACTTGAGCTTCCAACTTCTGGGCCCTCATCGTCTCCCCACACTAGCATGTGCAAAAGCACGTCCATAGCTTCTAAGTCCTCCCATACGGCCAGAATTCTTTCTGCAGTGCCCCTGGGAACACTTGCGCTGGAGCCAATGCACTCTCGCAGAAATGTTTGTAATATTCCTTCCACTGTGTCAAGATCCACCTGCGCAGCTGGAAGCTGGCAGTCCTGCGTCGTAGGGTCAGCCGTCGAAGCAGCCATTGGTCCGCTTGCGGTTAACAGGTGGTTGCGCTCAGGAGAAGCCATGTGGCTGGGTGGTTCACGCCTAGATCCGTGTGGGGCTAATGGCGTGTAGCAGCGTGGCAATGGGCTTGCAGCAGAGTGGACGTATATGTGCAAAACAGGTTGGAGTAGAGCTTCTTTAGGGCCAAATGTAATCGTGCTAAATGGCTTGCGTTGTTGCGCGCATGTGACGTCATACATTTGCAAGACGAACGCTGCCGCTGTGCGCGGAGACGCGCAGAGTCTATGCAAAGCACTCAGGACACTCTGCGCTACTGTTCTGATGTAATTCGTCAAGTTTTCATGGGAAGCGGATCCCGCGGGTGAGCGAGCGTGGCCACATTCTTGAATTGTTTCGTAGAGCAACTCACCCACGCCCGCAGGGCAGAGATCGTGAAAGGCTAGCAGACGCACCATTGCGTCAATTAAGGTAGCCTTGCTCACACTAGAATCGAGCGCCTGCAACCCAGCATTGCGCAAGCTTTCCAGCGCCACTTGATCTGACCCGCGCGCATGCGCGGTGCCACCCCTTGATAGGGGCGGTTGTGGCTCACTCTGTCTTAGCGCGCCACGCGTCGTTGTTCGCCGCGGGTCACGCTCGTGTGCAGAACTTGGAGCTTTTGTGGTGTGGCTGGCAGTGCTGCCAGGGTTCCCTGTTGGCTGGCCCACCGGTGCTTGCACCAAGGCATCAAAATGATAACCTTGCAAGCTTTCCGTGGTGTGATTGTAGAGGCGCAAAATGTGATGCGCGGGCCCCGTGCCTGGCACATAGATCCCCATCTCATCTGGATCCACTTCCGTCGAATCAAACCTACTATAAACCCGAATCTCTATGTTTGGGCGGGCTGCAGTACCTTCGTTGGAGTGCAGGTGCAAGTACTGCACAGCAGTTGCCGCGTGCAAGTCTGCATTTAAGAAAGGGTAGACGCCTCTTCGAACGTCCAGCTCTGCTCCAAACACGTGGACCAAATGCTGCCGACACTGCCGACAAAGAATTCGCCGGGCGTCGGCCTGCAAATGGGAAACATCGCGCACCAACCCTTGCGCAGCAAGCGCGAGGAGCAACGCGTCGAGCAAGCAATTGTTCTGCCCGTGCGGACTTGCAACTTGCAAAATCCACCCGTTCACTGCCAGACCTTGCAATCTTTCCGAATCCCTTGGGAAAGGCACCCCGCTTCTGGCTTGTTCTGCAGCGACCAGAATTTGGGCCGCAATTTCGTAGCTCGAGTCCAGCTCTCCCTCGCTGCGCAGGGTTGCTAGCAAATCGTCTTGGAGCTCTTGATCCACATTGGCCAGTAGACTACGCACGGCCGCTTGGGAGCCCATGTGTGACAACAGCAGGGCCTCCAGAAGAGGTGGCACGCGCGCCAGATCTGGCAAGGCCGGTGCTCCACGAACCTGATACCGCAGATGTTCCGCCAAGCTCAAGGCAAATTGTAAATAGTCATCCCATAGACTCTGCTCTCGGTATCCCCGGAAATTGCGCGCTGTCGCGCAAATGTTGCGCGCACTCCGCGCAGAGTCTATGGAAACACCCAGGCCCACACGCTCACACCATTGGCAGTGAAACTCCGAAAGCCCAGCTTCATATGTGCCACATGAAGTGCAACAGTGTCGCCGACAGATACAACAAGAAAGGACATCGTGCACGGCGGTCGTCATATGGCTTGCGTTACAAAAGAAACACTGTCTTTGGCCTCCGGCGCGGCCTTCGCTTTCCGCGCCACCGACACGGCGACGTTGCGCACGGTGGCCTGACGCAGCCCCAGAAGCAGTGGGCAATCGATGGTTCTTGGCACGACTTGGGCCGCAGCGCAACCTGCCCGGAGAACTTGGTACGCGCGCGCAATGGCAGGACTGCAAGCAAGGTTTGGCGTCCAAGCGGCCTCGCCCCACGCGCGGCAACTGTTTTGCAAGGCCAGGCACGAAGGTATCCAATAAAGGCATGGAAAGGCTCAAAACTGTTGAGACCAGTTCGTTACACGCTGGCCTCGCCGGAAAGAAATACGGCTGCGCCCACTCTTGATAACGAGAGAGGGTGCGCTGAGTTCCGCAGGTCGCCCAAGCATACTGCTGCCGACGACAACAGCTACACAGCTTCCGTTGGTCTAGAGTGGTCGTTGTTGTTAATGATGCCTGTGCCTTCGAAACACTCACGGGTCTCACGATGGCAACCTCTACCGGATTTGGGATTCCGGCGCTCCCTACCGGCTTTGGGACGCCGGCGCTCCCTTTGCATTTAGGGGTGCCCCCCTCTCGCGCAGCCGCGATCGTCGACGTAGACCTCAAGTACTATCGGGCACGGACGCTTATATACGTCAAGCCATGGTAAATCCTTTGAGGCACTGACATTTGCAGCTCCATTACCACCTGGTTTCAATGTATTGGCAAGAACAAATTTTCTTGCCACGCTCCTGTGCACCCGCACCTGTCGAGGAACCGGCCCGGATCGGCACGATGGCTTCGCACTGATGACCCGCGCCCTGGCGTGGATTGGCTCCAAGCCTCTCCAAAATGCGCCTTTCAGAGCTTTTACCCTCTGAATTAGTCTTGGCTGCAGCCGCAAAGCTTCAGTGTCAAATAGAATTTCTCATGAGCGCAACACGCATGATCGAGGCGGCGCCGTGCTCCGCTACCCCAAATTAACAGCTCCTCCCACTGCTTCATAGCCGAGAAGTCCAGTGCCCTGCGGTTGTTCCCTTGCTCCCCCAAACATTTAGCATGCAGTCATTGAATAGGGTGGGGTCATGGCGGGTCGTGGCAGAGGGGCCTTAAAGGGTCTAATTACTACCACGCCTATTATATAGATAATATGGGGCCTCTTGTGTGTCTATTGCACATGTAACCTCTGATCGCACCTCCGATACTTGTGAGTCGCTTGCGTGTAGAATATATATATATATATATTTATGCGCGCGCCTTTTGCAGTGGCGCCGGGCAGCAGCCCTTAAATCTTGCATATAGAACCTCTGACAGCAGCTCTGCTACTTCTATCGGTGAAAAGTATAGTTCTGCACACGAAGATCGACCTTTCCCTAGTAACACATATGCCCAAGTTGGCCGGAGCTCTTCCACCGATGCACCCGCCGCTTTGCGCATGTCCTTTCAACTCCTGGTGCCACTTTTCACGACGTGGCTGCGGGCACTCTGTCCGTGAAACTAGGGCTGCTCCGCATTTCGTATGCAGCGAGTGCTGTTGTTCGCTACTGCGGATTGTCGCAGCGTGTTTATTGGCCCTCCTTTTGAGTGGAGCACGTCGAAACCAATTGAGCAGGACAATCATGGAACAAAGAACTAACTCTTCGTTTGGCAAGCAGTTCTCTAGAGTGGAGCACTCCAAAAAACCCTGGAACGGGACATTCGAAAACAATGAGAGACAAAGACTAACTCTTAGGTCCAGCAAACATGATCTGTATAACTGTGGTCTTGAGGTAAAAGGCACAAAAAGCGATGGACTCCAACCCAAATGGCCTTGACCCTAGTGGCAATGGCCTCCACCCTACAAGCGATGGCCTAGCGATGGCCTCCAACCTTGTAGCAATGGCCTCCAACCTTACAGCAATGGCCTCCACCTTCTAGTAGTCATGGCCTCCAACCTACTAGCGGTAGCCTCCACCCTATAGTAGCGATGGCCACTTCCTTCCTTTTCTCTCCCACTTCATCCCTCTTGCCTCCGCCCTCTACTTCTACCCCGTCTACACTGCCACGGCCCCGCCTCCAGCCCCTTAACATCCACATGGGGGTTCCACGTAGCCGATGCAGCACACCGTGGAATCACCATGCCCTCTGTCTGCCCCACACCCTTTAATATCTCTAACGCTTACCCCATCCCTGCCCCCTCCTCACATTGGGGATTCCACGTAGCCGACGCAGCACGCCGTGGAGTCACCATGTGTTCTGCCCTACCACCTACCTCATCTCTTGCCTGCACCCTATACTGGCGCCATGTCGCACTGCCTGCCCCCTCCTCACATTGGGGATGCCACGTAGCCGATGCAGCACGCCTGCCCTACTTCATCTCTTGCCTGCACCATGTCCCACTGCCACCCCAAGTAAACCTCCACACTCTTGCCTGCGCCCTCTACCTCCACCCCGTCTACACTGCCATGGCCCCGTCCCTGCTGCGTCCTCCCGCCCCTTAACATCCACATGGGGGTTCCACGTAGCCGATGCAGCACACCGTGGAATCACCATGCCCTCTGTCTGCCCCACACCCTTTAATATCTCTAATGTTTACCCCCTCTCTTCCCCCTCCTCACATTGGGAATTGCACGTAGCCGATGCAGCACGCCGTGGTGTCCCCGTCTCTTGCCTGCACCCTATACTGGCGCCAGGTCCCTCCACATAGCGACCAGTTCTACCCCGTCTACACTGCCACAGCCCCGTCCCTGCTGCGTCCTCCAGCCCCTTAACATCCACATGGGGGTTCCACGTAGCCGATGCAGCACACCGTGGAGTCACCATGCCCTCTGTATGCCCCACACCCTTTAATATCTCTAATGTTTACCCCCTCTCTTCCCCCTCCTCACATTGGGGATTCCACGTAGCCGATGCAGCACGCCGCGGTGTCCCCATGTGTGTTTCCCTTCCTGGGGTCGGCGGCACTGGGCGGCAGCCCTTAAATATACATACACGATAGATATCCATAATTGCCATCATTCTGCTTGGTTTCCTTGTGTTACATCAAGGGCCGTAACCCATCCTTCAAGACCTCCCCGCAAACACATGTTGTTCTCTTCAGGGGGAACCTGTTCTCAAGTGGCAGCTGGGCCAGCACACTTCATTGCCAGTGCGAATGAATCGACCAACTCACTGGGACAGAAGGAACACCCTCAGACCTACCTGGACCTTCATGCCGGGGTGCCCAACGGAGATGCACAAGTAGTGGGCTGGGTATTCCATTGGAGACCGCTTTGATGCTGCTAATAAAAATACCTAAAAGAATTGGTATTTCGATGCTGGCGAACCTCGACGCCTGTCTCCGAGAAAAACCGTCTCGCCACTTCTCACCGTCTCGCCCTTGCGAGTGCGAGGACCGCGTGGCATGGCTGTGCTGTGCGCCTTTCCAAACCAGGGCTGTCCGTTGGAAGACACGGGTCTGCCCTGGTCCATTGTGCGTGTGTCTTCGGAACTTGGTGTGACTTTGTGTTATTTGCGTTTGGTCAAAGATAAACACAATCAGATAGTACGGAAGAAAAGACTCCTCTGCAACCATCTGACCAAGGCTGACCAAAAAGGATGCCGCTGCAGCATCTGGCAAAACTTCCACCCAGGGCAAAAACAAAAAACATGGAGACGCACAGACTTCTCCGACGATTTCTGATGATGGTCCCCATGTTTCCTGCTGCCCAAAGAGATGCGCCGGGACATTCCCGGAGCATGGCTTTACTGCTACAGGCAAGCTGTTCCAGTGGTGTGACATGCAGTCATAGACACGCGTTCGCGCCTTTGGCATGTAGTGGAGTTGTGTGTTTTTCATTGTTATAAGTCGTCCCAAATGCTACTGTTGTTGCATGCGCACCAACCAAGTTTTTGCTACTTGGCTACTGACACCACAAACAACGAAACACTTCACCAAAGCTTGGTGGAAATGGCCTAGGCCGGCTTGGGGGGATGTCAAGGAGTCGTCCATCCGAATCCTGGCTGTCGCTTGGGCACTCAACCCTAGAGGGTGGAGGTACGTATTTGATGAAGCGCTAACTCAGAGTTGGCCAAGAACAATAGCCCCCCAAACTGTATACTTTGAACAAACGCTGGCTTCTCAAATCTGTTTAATGTTTTCGAGAATGCATATGAAGGCACAGCACATATATTTACAAAATTTTACAAATGGTTTCTTACATATGTTGCACATGCACAGGGATACAAGGGTGCACCCAGTCCTTCTTGTGCACAGAACAACTTGCCTTTGCTGGAAACCAAAAACACCAACCAGCTTCGCCGGCGGTTGAAACCATGAGAAACGGTTCTCTCAAGCGTCGCACTGGCCGCGGGATACAATGTTTCTGCCCAAGAAGAGGTTCTATAGGCATGAACACTAAATCCGCTGCGATAGGATCCCACATCTACTGGCCCTGCTGTTTATCTTCGCCGGACTTTCGCTGGGTCTCCCGGGTGTCTCTGACGTGTTGCGACGCTGGCCATGACAAGGCCATGACAAGTCCGATCGAAGAGATCAAAGGGATGACATGTAGTTCCGGTGTTTTTAGACCGCCTGAAATAAGACCTGGAAGTGGAGCATACCCCTTTCCACTACAAGGGGTCTGCTCAGCTTCCATGCAGCTTCCATGAAAGAGAGTAGGTCGGTGGCCTTGATTTTAAAAGACCATCTAATCAGACCGGTCCCGAGGTCACAAAATGTCACAAACCTTCCTGGGACCGGAAAAAGAACAGCCGATCAAATGATCCTGCTTCAACCACCCCAACTGCTCTCATTGGTAAATACATCGAGTGTCTGAGTGTCTGGGTGTTAGACCATCAATGAATGATGGCAGAGTGGATAGATGCGGAGATTGTGAGCACCCGGAGAGCCAATCAACACCCCGTTGAGGCTTAAGCTGGAAGACCTTCTTACAAAACAAAGGCCTTTGGTGAGACCAAAAGCCAAGAGCTGTGGCTGAAGAAAAGTGGGCCTCCTCCTCTGTTAATGCCCATCTCTGTGATTGGAGTCTATTGTGGTGTTCGTCTTTCTGCAGAAACGATGTTGGCTTAATTTGGCTTATGGTCGCCAGGTGTTTCAGCAATTCAAGTGTCCTGTAGTGTCACCAAGTCAGGTCTTGATTTTACGACTTCAGGGGATCTTTCTCATCTTGGTGAACCGCACTGTGGAAAACGCGCCATCATAAACCTGACAATGGTGGGCCCTGAGGCCCTCCCGTGGCCTATGGCCCTTGAAGCCCAGGATGGAACCCCCCCCAGTCCCGAAAGGCCACTTCCTATGCAAAGGATCTCAAGCGACTGCGCCATACTAGGCTAGGGGCTAGACTTGAAACGTGTTCGCCTTGAAACGTTCGATGCGGCCAGGGCCCCACAGCCAACGCCCGAACCGTGTTCCCACACGAGAACTTGGTTCCCTGGCACCGTGCAAGGGAGGAGAGAGGGATCCATTCATGAACCTGCAGGGCAACGGATCACTGTAGGATGGGAAATCAGGGAACCTGCTGCAAAGTAGCCGAGTAGCTACTGAAGCACTGTTTCGCCCTGGTACTTCTGGAATTCTTATGAGTCCGCATGCTCAAACTAGTCTTGACTTCCATGTTTGTTGCAGCGGAGCACTTTTCAGCACTTTCGGAGACATGGCGCAGCTAGACAACAGCTATACTGGCAGCAAACAGCATGCAGGAACACGGAACTTCAGAAGGTCAAACCTAGAAACTACCAAAATATATGTCCTCTTCATATGATCTTGATGCACCTGCTATATATACTGTACTTATCTTGCCATAACTTGCTGGATGCATACATGTCCACACCGCATGTGTCCATAGCGAGTCTGTGGCAAAGGGCATGCAGCAAGGCCCCTTGATGTGGCCCCCCACTGCTGGACTGTGCAACATCTATTGTCCGAGGAAGGGCGTGCGCAGTCAAGACACGCCGGCGTGCGTGTCTAGAGCAAAAAGCAAAGCAAGTTACATGCACAGTCAAGTCCAGATTTGTGTGTGTCCTCT